ATTTATTTATTTATTAAAAAAAAAATTAAATACAAAAAGCTACCTTGGAATCATGTTAAGAGTGTGACGAGGGCAAAAGGGGGAAAAGCGGCAGAAGGCAGGGAAGTCAAAAGCGTCGCTGGATCGGGCGGGTGATTTCCCGGGATGCTCACACCTGGAGTTAAGCACCCGCCTAAACCCTGAGTAGGATTTAAGCTGGTGCTTAAGAGTTTCGTTGCCCACACCAGAGGATCCGGCCGGGATGGAAAGTGGAAGCAGTTTCCAGGCTTGGGGCCAGAGAAAGGGAGATGGGAAAAAAAAAAGGGAAACCTGATAAAAGTGCTAATTAAGGTATAAATGGGTTTTGGATGTTGTTTTGGTCAGCGTCACAGCCTTAATGCTATTTCCATGATATCTGCTTTTGTACTTAATTCCCTTTACGAGAAAAGCAAAAAAACCAAAAAACAAAACACAAACCAAAAATAAAAAGATCACAGATTATTAAAAAAATTATATTATTTGCCCGTGAAATGGGAACAGTTCATAGCTCATCAAGTCTGGCAAGGAAATATGCTCTCATTCAGGATTTTATTTGATTTCTTTTTTTTTATTATTTTTATTTTTTTTTAAAAAAAGTGTATTACGTACCCGATAAACTGGAACAGCTCTGAAAGAAGAACGAACTGGTCCACTGGTTAAATATTTTTTTTTTTTTCTCTTGTTTTCTTTTTTTTTTTTGTTAAAATAAAATAAAAACCAAGGGAAAAAAAAAAAAAGAGGTTTGTACAGATTCCATAGACCAGAAAACCCTCTGAAAGTAGTAAAGAGCCTGCTGTCTGCTAGGGCAAACACGTTATCGAACATTTTGTATTTTAAAAAGTGACAGAGAGGAACGAGGGCTCCGTTGGGTCTCTCTGTATTTGGTATCGGATCTATTGGCAGTAGAGTTAAAAATTCGCTCTGGAAAAATAACAAAAAGCCCCCGCACGTGCGTTAACGAGCTGGTTGCAAACACAAACCATTCGGCGTCATAACTTGGATTTTTTCTTGTTTTCTTCTGCGATGCCAACAAAAAAAAAAAACCCAAAACATCGCACCGGCGACGTTCAGCTTCAATAAATAAATTAAATTAAAATAAGACGCAGAGTCACCGGCGAAGGAGCAGCCCGATGGAGCCGAACCCAGCGGGGAGGGGATGGAGGGAGCTCAGCGCAACCCAAAAAAGAAACGATGGAGGGGAAAAAGGGCAGCGGGGCGTGTGTTTGCCTCCGTTCTTAAACCGTGGGTGGGGAGGGCCAGGGGGTGGTCACGGAGGGTTCCCAACCCCGCCAAAGGGGCTCTCAGGCACAGGCAGGGCTTTGCCGGGGCGATTAAAGCAAGCAGGAGGCCGGCTCGTCCAGCGAGAAACACCGTTCCTGGCACTGGGTCTTACATTCGATACATTCCTATGTTCTTGCAGTGAAATCTTTGAAGAAGAACCGTTTTTCCTTCTTTTTCTTTTTTTTTTTGTCCCTTTTTTTTTTTTTTTTTAGAAAAGTGCTTTGATGGGTTCTGCAAGGAAGGAGGGATGCTCGAGATGCGTTTTTCTCTCTTGTCGGAGGGACAAATTCTCTCTCGCCTCAAAGGAGCATCCCCCCTCCTCAAGGAAGTGCTCGGTTCATTTACAAGTTCAGGGTAAACATGTGGGTTTTTTTTTTTTTCAAATGTAAAGCAATCTCAGCGGTTTAAAGCACAACCATAGGCAATCAGAGGGATGCGAGAAAAAACCAAAAAAAAAACCCCAAAACCAAGCACTTTGCGAGAATTAAATAAAGCGTGTAATAAATACAAATCATAAACTTCTGTACACAGGAGCAAGGGTTTGGTGTGTTTGTTTCAATCATTTAATCGATATAAAAAAAAGTTCTTTTTTTTTCCTGTTTTGTTTTTGTTTTCAGTGCATCTTCTTCCTCTTAAAACGCTTGACCCTTTCCTTTCTGCATCTCTCAGGCCCATAATTACGCACACCTAAATGGCAACAAAAAAAATAAAAACAAAAAAAAAAAAAAGAAAAGACAAGGTCTAACAAACCCCTTTCCAAAAAACTCTAAAAAAATATTCACAGCCTCCAACAGTTTTGTACATTTCAAGCAACGAAAGGTATAGAAAAAGGCACAAGTAACTGCATACATGTGGAGATAATACCAGACTGGGACAAAGAAAACCAGGAATCTTCCATGGGTTTGGTCATTCACTAGAGTGCTGCTTAGAGCGATGATTATACTAAAGGAAATAGTGTTGCAAATGTCTGTGGATTTTACAGAGGAAGCCTGAAGGCGGAACGGATGGCGGAGGCTTAAGTACTCCCCGTGTTTTCGTCCCTCTTTTTTGGAGTTTGACCTAAATCTGCGTGCTCGAGGTGTGGGCTGCTCTTCCTGGAGGCTCCCCCTTGGCGACCGGGCTCTCCAGAGAGGTTTCTCCTCCGGGTGGAGAAGGCTTGGGCGTGCGAATGGCTCGATGAGGGCTCCGAGAGGCAGCCGGTGCTGCTGCTCCGGTCCAGCGGCTGGGAGGGGAGATCTGAGATGAAAGTGCAGGATGATTCGAAAGAAGTGCTCGAGCTGCCAGATTGCTTCTTGCCCGTTTCGTTCAAGGGTTCTTCCCCGCTCGTCGAAGGCTTTGGAGAGGGCTCGTCGGTCGGGCTGGGGCTGGCTGGCGACGCCGAGCGGACTGCCGGCTCCGCGAACGTTTTTACCCTGTGTTCCTCCTGGTCTGTCTTTTGCTGAAGCTCACTAGTCCTCATTTTCTCCTCCGAGTAACCACCGCTCGCAAGCTCCGGGGACAGCGTGTATTTTGAAACCTTCGCCACCGGGGAGACGGACGCCGACGATGGCTCCCGCGGTGCTGCCGGCGGGTGCCCGGCCCTCTTTGGGGAAAAAAAAACTCCACGAAGCCGCTGCCCTCCGAGGCGAAGTATCCCGCTTGCAGGGATACGACCGAGCCGGGCACCAAGCTGGGGTGGGTGCTCGGCCTCGCCTGGACCATCTGGATGCCCCCGATGGGAATCATGGGGTACGGGGTCCTGGCGAGCTGCTGCGAATGCAGCGGGAGGTGGCTGAAGACGTTCTCCTCCCCTCGGCTGGGGGCGGGGGAACGTGGATTTCGTGAGGTGCCTGCAAGGGTCTGGAGCAGACGGGCTGCGTGACGCCGGGTGAGCATGTTGGGCTTCGGGGTTCTATCTTCTGCACCGGAGAGGGGAGGAAAAGAAAGAGCTGAATCAGCGCGAGGTGCAAGTCGCAGCCTTAGCATCAGTAACGCTCACTATAGGGACTGGGTTCGTTCACGTTTTATCTTAATTTGAGGGAGATCAATTAACTGAGGACAATGTGGATGCCCAAACCTTTACGGTAAGGAGCAACACAACCCGTTTGTCTTCCGGGGAAAAATACGCCCACGGCGTGTTGGGGCATAGATCTAGGTTCAGGCTTGGCTCATTATAAAATCATGGAAAGGTCGGAAGGGACCTTTAAAGGTCATCTAGTCCAACCCCACTGCCATGGGCAGCGACACCTTCAGCCAGATCAGGTTGCTCAGAGCCCCGTCCAACCTCACCTTGAAGGTTTCCAGGGATGCGACATCTACAACCTCTCCGGGCAACCTGTGCTGGTGTTTCAACAGTCTCTTTGTAAAAAATTTCTTCCTTATATCTAGTCTTAAATCTACCCTCTTTTAGTTACAACACACCCTCCTTGTCCTATTATCAGGTGTTGCCTCTGAAGCCCTGGCAGAGGATGCCAGTGTCTCCTGCCAGCTGAGCTGCTTCGGATCACTTTCGGTACACGGGGTTTCTGAGAGCCCAGAATCACGTCATTTATTCAAACCACACTTTCTTAAAGCAGGATTACGCCCCTCACAAGAATGGTTTTGGACCGAGCGAGATTAACTTGTCTGACACAAAGCACACCCATCAGTGTGGTCCCCACCACCACCCTCACGGTGTGGTCTGCAGAAATCAAGGGTTAAGACCCTACCATTTTACCTTTTCCTCTTTCTCTCTCGGTGCTTCACATAGTTTCCTAACGTACATCATGGAGAGATATGTGGCTAAACAGAAATGGATTAATTAGTGATGACGAGGTTATAACTAACCCCCTAAACAGGACTCCCAAGAAGAGGAAGCAATAAAAACCAAAATCAACTTTCCGTTCGCGTTAGCTATAAAATTGGAGGGTTCGCCGGAGGGTGTATTTCTTCGCAGGATTATGGAGAATTGCCCGACCCTGCGAGCCAGATCTCTGTGAAGTGGCGACAGGGGAAAGCAGCAAAAGGGAAGAGAAGGGTGAGAAAGCAAGAGCCACTGAAGACAGGGCACACTGGTCAGCAGTTACAAGCCCAAACACGTGCTAAATCTCACTTATTGACACGAAGTCTTGGCAGAATCCCTACAGAGATGCTGGGAATCCCCCCCGCCCTGAAAATAACCTCAGTGGTGCAACACTCACCAGAAGGAGAGACTGCTACTGTGAGAGGCAGAAGGAACATGGCCACGGTCATGCGTGCAGAGAAGCCTGACACTGAGGCTCCAGTGAGATCGCCTCCGAGTTTCCAAGCAAAAGCCACCAGTTCCGAGCACAGAGCTCAACGCAGGAACCAGTAAATCCACCTCTGCTTTTGCTGTTTCTTGTAGCCTTACCAGGACCTTCATTTTGCAACGAGAGCCCAGCTGTCCATCTCGCCAAGACACGGGAAGTTCCTTTACTGTTGCTTTGCAAGCATGTGAGAAAAGCAACCGTGGTGACTTTGGGAGCATAAAAGGGCCAGGAAAATGAAGCAAAAAGGTATGCACGTGGGAGCGTAAGGAAAAAGGTGTGAACGGGCAGATGAGCAGAGATGTACAACAGTACAAGAGATGTACAACCTACAAGAATTTACTACAAGTAGCAGCAGCGAGCAGCTCCTGACAGTGATGCTTTGGAGTTGAAGGATCAGGCTTTCCACAACCCTGAGATTTCCCCTGCCCCGAGAAGTTAATCAACAGGAAAGAGAAATAGCATTAAAGCACGCAGAAGTTTGGCCCTAAACCGAAGGACAGTCTCTGAGAAGGTAAGACAAGAACTCATCGTGCAAAGCAGCCCCCAAAGACAGGATGTTATCACAGACACGGAAGAAACGCACACTGAGCAGCGCGGCTTTGCCGGAGGAGACCTGGCTCAGCATCTGTAAAAACACCTCTAAGGGCTCGAGTTTCTCCTCACAGCAGGGCAACTCCAGCAACTGAATCTCCTGTTCATCAACACAAATTACGGGAGAGCCAGGGACTTCGGCAGAAGTGGGAAACGTCCCAGCAAACCCTACGTCTAATCTGCCTGCAGCAGTGGGAGGAATGTGAAAGTCCCCTTTACCCTCAGGATTTGCTATGTCCAGCAGAGAGATTAAATAATTTTCTGGACCCAGTGGGAAACACCTTTCTTTGCTGAAGAGAGAAGCGAGATGAAATCAGAGATGTCCAAACAAACATCTCTCAGCAGTTGATCCCACAGAGTTGGCTGCACATGTACGTAGCCCAGGGGTCAGTAAGAGTGCGACGGCTACTTCAGCTCTAGGTCGGGTCACTGGCCAGTGAGAAATGGTCACAGCTTCCCCCCAGCTAGTGGAATCTCAGAAATGGGTATGAAATTCCCAGGGGAAGAAAGTTTCTTAAGTGACAAGTAGCCATTATTAAGTGGTCACCCTTACTGCTTGTCTCAGCGGGAGAGTGGTCGGGTCAGGAGGGTAAATAACCCCTTGGAGAAGGGACAGCTCTGCTTCCCTTCAGCTGAGATGGGCAGGACTCAAACGGGTGCAAAATCCATCGCTGCCCACTGTCACTTTTCTCCGGGTTACCCGTGACATCGCTCACAGTGAGACTCACTGTGCATGCCTGCATTGCAACCCTCATCAAAAAACATAACAAAGAACACACTGCAGGGACTAGAAGGCAAGAGGGGCTTGAACTTACCAGCTTGGACTCGTAGAGCTGGACATTTTTGCCAAAGAACCTGTGAGGTAGCGGCATCGAAGATAATATCCCGTGCTGGGCTTGATATGAGCTTTGAACTTTGTCATCTGCTGCTGATTTGCTAGGACCAGGCAAGTCCTCTTGCCCAGGAGATGGATACCTAGACGACTCTGAACAGCCTGGAGACAAGACTTTCTTCAGCGCCAAATATCTGACCGATGACATCTCTCTGCTCGGCGATGAGTGCCTCACAGGGGACACCTCTCCTTCTGGTGGAAGGTACGTTCTTGGGGACAGCTCTCTTCTAGGGGAAAGATGCCTGCTGGGTGACAGTTCGAGTCTTGGTGACACACACCTCAGTGGAGACGCCTCCCTCCTGGGAGAGACGCGCTGGCAAGGAGACAACCCTCTCCCTGGAGACAGGCACCTCAGAGAAGACAGTTCTCCGGTTGGCGAAAACCGTTTCGGTGAAGTTTCATTTTTGGTTAACAGGTGCTTTCTCGCTAGCATTGGTCTGCTGCTGCCACCACCTCTGCCAGAGTCCTGGCTCGGAGACCACCTTTTCCTTGGGGAGGTGTCTTTCGAGGTTGACAGGTCCATAACTAAGGACATCCGTGGCCTTGTGACAGACTCTCTTTCAGCAGAAGCCAATTGTTCGGTGGAGGTCAAAGCTGGTCTGTGGAGACTCAAGAAGCTGTGGCACACAGCAACGTCACTGCTGTCTGCAGACCACTTTGTTTCCAGCCCTGAGGAGGAGGCCTGCTGGCCTTCACTTGCTTTTTGGCTGCTGGAAACAGTCTCTTGGGACAAGGACAACGCTGTTTCGGCGCCCTCCTCTTGAGAAGACGGAGAGCCACCTGAAGAGTGTGTCGGGAGGGGGGTATGTTTGCCTTCCGGCAACTTTAAAAGGGGCTCATCTTGGCTCTCCTCTTCCTCCTCATCTTCCTCATCTTCATTGTCATCGTCATCGTCAGATTCTTCTAGGTCTGAAAACTGGTGTTCCTCAATTGGCTCAGATCCCTCCCGCCCCTCAGAGTCCTGGAATAGGTCTTCACTGGTTCCTGAGGGAACAGGCAAACACAAAACAGAGTGTAAACCACACATACAGAGACTATTTTTGTGCTAAATCCACTCAGTTAAATATTAGCTAGACAGAGTTTTTATTAAAAAGCAAAAAATCTGTGGGTTTTCCCCGATTTTGATAAATTCTAGCTATGATGCAGCCCCTTCTTTGTGGCCGAGGATTTTCCTGGCTGGCTTGCGCAGGGACACTTTGTCAACGTAAACAGCGAGGAGTACACAAAAAGCAAATTGTAAAGGATTGGAAATACATCTGCAGGTAAAAATATGGCATCTCCCTTCCACTTGAAGGGCCAGCAGAAGCTTCCCGAGCTCAGCACTGAGCTCCCAAGCTGATCGCTTGCAAAACCCTGCGCGGTGGTGGAGTCATCATAGAATCATAGAATCCTAGAACTGTCAGGGTTGGAAGGGACCTTAAAGTTCATCCAGTTCCAACCCCCTGCCACGGGCAGGGACATCCCCCACTAGATCCGGCTGCCCAGAGCCCCATCCAGCCTGGGCTGAAAAATTCCCAGGGATGGGGCTGCCACCCCCTCTCTGGGCACCCTGTGCCAGGGTCTCCCCACCCTCATGGGGAAGAACTTCTTCCTCACATCCCATCTGAACCGACCCATCTCCAGCTTCAGTCCATTCCCTCAGTCCTGTCCCTGCCCGACATCCTCACCAGCCCCTCCCCAGCTTTCTTGTAGCCCCCTTGAGATCCTGGCAGCCACCAGAAGGTCTCCTCGGAGCCTTCTTTTCTGCAGAGTGAACAGCCCCAGCTCTCTCAGTCTGTCTGCACAGGAGAGCTGCTCCAGCCTCTGAGCATCCTCGTGGCCCTTCTCTGGACACACTCCAGCATGTCCAGATCCTTCTTGTGCTGTGGCTCCAGAACTGGACACAGAACTCCAGGTGGGGTCTCACAAGAGTGGAGTAGAGGGGAAGAATCCTCTTCCTCGCCCTGCCGGCCACGCACCTCTTGCTGCAGCCCAGGACACGATGGGCTTTCTTGGATTTTTCTTTCTTGGAGTCTCTGTCCCTGGAGGTATTTAAGGGTCGGGTGGACACAGTGCTTAGGGATATGTTTTAGTCGAGGACTTGTCAATGTTAGGTTAGCTATTGGAGTCGATGACCGTAAAGGTTTTTTTCCCACCTAGGCACTTCCGGGACTCTTGTGATCTCCTCCCCTGCCAGATGTGCAGCTGCCCCAGCAGAAGTGCCAGCCTGCAGAGATCCAGCGGGAACAGCCACTGGATGTCACTGCAGCTCAACAGAATTGCACCGTCAGGAGGCTTTCCCGCAAGTCTGGATCCTCAGAACTCATCTGTGCCAAGCCCCGAGGCGATGGGTGCTGGGATGCGCCTGGTCCCGGCTGTGGCTGCTGCTTTGGCACCTGCCTGAAGGCGGGGAACTAATCGCCGCCTCCTCTCCCCGTCAGCTCAGCCTGGAACACTGGTTCTCCTCTGATGAACACTGAAAGGCTTCTCCATTTAGAGCTGCCATCTGTCAGCAGGACGAGCTGGAGGGGAAATTAAAGGGAGCTGAGGCCGGACCACACCTGCCTGCAGCAGGCTGGGTGGTTTGCAGAGGGGGACGCGGCCACACAGTAAGAAGTCACCGGATGAAAAGGCTGATTTTGTTTACTCTGAATAACAGGGCCTTATGCTCATGAAGTATTTGGCACTACCAAATAAGACATGTATTTTTACCAGCCTGAAATGCATCTCGCCTGTTCCCCACCCTCTGCCAGAGGGACCCATCGACTCGTCCACAGTCAGCAGCTCCTCACCGAGAGACTTGCACTGTGAAATGCTGGTACAGTGATGGTGTTTGCTGGACTGAGGATCTAGCGGCAGCTTGTCTGCAAACTCCCAAAGCAACCGAGTTCAGAACAAATATTATTCCAAACGACCGGCTTGCCCAGCTGCAGGGGGAACCGTGCATAGTTCTCGCTTGGAAAAGGCTTCTTGCAACTGAAACGCGTTTTGCTGAGCTATCGGGCAGAGAAAGGGCAAGTCTGGAGAGCAGAGATGGAGGAAGGAAGGAGAGAAGGAGGCAGGTAGTGAAAATGTGCCCCGTCGACGGCTGCATTTCATTACACGTGTGTTATTCTAAGGTTATTGCACCAAGCTGGTGCAATCACACCAGGCAAAAAAGCAGTGCAGGAGTGAAGAGTTATACTCCAATCTCCTTTTATAGTAACACCCCTTACTTTCTCCTGCCCCTTAAATAGAAATAAAAACAACCAAGTGAAATATAACTCTAGTTTAAAATAATCTAGGGAGTTTTAGGAACTGCTGCTCCCTCCTTGCCTGCCCCCAAAGGAAAGCACAGCAATCTTCCTGCGCTGGTTTGTGTCACATGGAAATAGTCATCTTTTTTTTTCATTTTTTTTCCCCTTTTTTCAATTAAAATAGTCCTTGCTAGGCTCAGTTCTGAGCCTCTTCGCAAAGAAGAGAGAAGACTCTGTGGTTACACAGGGGAAGGCTCTTTGCAATCCACTGCTTGAGAACAGGGGATGAGTGTCACAGCTGTGAGCTCTGACTTCTCGGGCGCCTTTTTGCCATTTTGACGTTATTTTCTGATCCATCCAAACAGCCCCAACCATTACAGTACAAAATCAGCTTTCTGACCATCTTCTTGGCTACTTTATTCAGTGTTTACCTGGCATTTGGGAGCAATGGGCCTCCTTACTCATGAGGCCGAATATTTGAAATTTCAGCAGCACAACAGTGTCAGCTTCAACCCCGGTGAAAAAGAAGGGATGAAAGGAAACGTCTTCTGATACCCCACCTTCCCGTTCCACCTTTCTGCATTCCTTCCTGGCAGACCGTCCCCGTTACACAAACACAAACAGTCTCCATCGATGTGAGGAAACGGGGATTGTATGTATTTTTTTGCAATTCTAAAGTTACACGGGTTGCTTGCATAATGCAACGAGGTCCAGGCAGCGCGTCGCATTCCAGCCAAGAGCAACAATGGGAGAGGAGTCCCGTCCAAAAGCTCAGGGGTTCCTGTCCTCTGCAGCCCAGGTAGGCTTCACAGGTGTCCAACCACCGTGTGTTCAGCCACGAGCAGTCGCGGACCGAGGACTTAATGATGGCCAAAACCACCTAAAGTCCCCCACTGATGGTCCCACCCTTCTTGCTGAGCGCTCTCCCAGCTGACCTGGCAATGTGAGGTTCACCTTGGTTGGGCTCTTGTTTAGATCTACTCTTTTATTTAGATCTACTCTTTTGTTTAGACCTACTCTTCTGTTTAGACCTACTCTGACCAGCTCAACTTCATCACCTGCCAGACTCCCATCAGCTCACAGCCTGGATCCCGCGCTGCTGTTAACCCTGTCTGAGCCCGGGGATGAACAACTGAGGGAAATCAGGCATGAAAGCATTCCCCTGGACTGGTTCTGTCCTCGGAAGCCTGCAATTACGTGTAACATAAATAGGACTTCTGATCTGCAGGTTTTCCAACGTGACGCTCGATTAATATGATTCATTAGTTCTAATTGACTATAATGGAAAGGTTTAAAATAACAGTTCTTTTCAGTCATGCAGCCAACGTTTCAGGAGCCATCAATCTAGCTTTGAGCTGCAGAAGCATCACCAACAGGCAGACGAACAGCAGGCAGAGATTTCTGGAGCCCATCAGCTCATCGACTGTTTTAAGTGAGTTGCCAGGCTGAAGGAGTTCTCCAGCCATCCCCCACGGGAGCAGCCTTCCCCTGCTCACCCCACGCCAACCCTTTCCCCTTGGGGAAGTTACCGCAAATCCCCTGACTAGGTTTTCTTTCGGCCATGCTCTCCTTCGGAAAGGCCACTTGGGTACAGCATGACTGCTCCGCCTGATCGCAAGCTTGCCCTGAAGAGCAGATTTAAAGGGAAAAAAGTCATCCCTTGAGGCAGAGCAGCCAGGTCAGGGCTCCTTAGCCTCATTGTTTATTCTGCATGGCCTGGGAGAGCCCTTTGTCCACCTCTGCACATGTTGGGAAAGGCACTATGAAAAGGATATGGGTGTCTGGTAGTGCCACAGGGCTCTTTTCTTCTCCCATGTCCTTGCCCCCTGACTGCCCAGGTGACTGCCCTGAACCAGAATTCAAGCCTGAAAGCGCACGGGATCACTGTGCTGGGGATCATTGGGGTTTGGGACTGGTTAACCAGCAGGAACTCTTGGATATAACAGAATCAAAGAATCACAGAATGGCTCAGGTTGGAAGAGACTGAAAATCACCTCGTTCCAACCCCCTGCTGTGGGCAGGGACACCTCTCTCCCACCAGACCAGGTTGCTCCAAGCCCCGTCCAACCCGGACTTGAAGCCTTCCAGGGATGGTCCATCCACACCCTCCCTGGGCAACCTGTGCCAGTGCTTCACCACCCTCATGGTGAAGAATTTATTCTTTATATCTCATCTAAATCTACCTTCTTGCAGTTTCAGGCCATTGTCCCTTGTCCTGTCACCACAGGCCCCCGTAAAAAGCCCTTCTCCAGCTTTTCTGTAGCCCCTTGCATGTACTGGAAGGCTGCTATTATGTCATCCTGGAGTCTTCTCTAAGCTGAATAACCCCAGCTCCTCAGCCTTTCTTCACAGCAGAGGTTCTCCAGCCCCCTAATCATCTTCGTGGCCCTACAGGTTCCCTGCTGGCAAGTTGAGCTGCAGTCTGTTTGGGTCGAGGACAGTCGCATCAGCCCTCCAAGCCCCATTTGTCCAGGATGGTGGGAGCAGCCCTGCAGCCCCACCAGCTTGCTCTGCAACCACACCTCT